AACTGGTGAGCCGAGTGTCCGCGTCACTTGCCTGGCTAGCTGTATACCCGAAGCACTAAACCCTGAACCCAAATGCGTAGGGTTTTAGGAAGTCGTTACGCCGGGAATGCCCTATCAAGCTCTATAGCAGAAAGCTCTAGGGTTTGCAGTTTGGAGGTTTAGGGCTTAGGGCTTAGGGCTGTGGGCTTTTGAGCTTCAAGTTCAGAATTTTGAGCGTGCAGTCGAGAAGGAGCAGCGCTATGCAGAAGAGCAACTGACTTTGAAGCTTTCCGGTGGAATTTCACTTGGCTTTGGCTTTCGGATTTCGAGATGCCTTTGCAACTGGGTTCAAGGTTTTGTCCTTAGAAATGCTTTCCACGCAAATTCAGCTTATTGATCCTTTGGGTGCTCTCGGTACGTTAAATCCAAAGTTTGGGCTTCCCCGCAAGGAGGTTGCAACAATCGTGCTCAGTGCGCTGCTAAAACCGAAAAGGCATCTTTGTGCCCTAAACCTTGAACCTGCGACCTTGAACCTGTGACCTTGAACCTGCGACTTACGAGGTGACCCTGTACCTTGAACCCTAAACCTTGAACCTTTAGCACCAAAGCTCCAACCCATAACATTAGCAGGCGTACTACAACACACTGGTACCATAATAATACATGTATATGTATACATATGTATAGGAAGCTAAGAGACTATAGCTTGGGTGCTTTGCCCAGCTAGATGCAAAACCCCAGAGCCCTGAAATCCCGCATGCCCGCCCCCTTTCCGCAGCAGGGGGGCATCATAGCACCAACCCGGTCCACGCTCCACCGCCAGTCCAAGCGCCACCAAATCTTCGGTAACAAGTTGGCCTGTCAGGGCTTAGGGTTTAGGGTTCAGGGTTGAGGTGCCAGGTATGTGCATGCCTGTGCAAATACATGTATACCAGTGCATGTACATGTATGAATGTATATATGGTAGTTTCCCAAAATAGGGGGACGCCAATATAAACCCCAATAATCCTTATTATGGGGACCCCCAAAAGGGTACCCCTAATTTGGGGAAACCCCCATATGGAAGGAGGGACACTGGATTTACATCAAGGCTAAAGCCCAAGGAAACGGGAGTAAGGGCTCAAGGGCGTGGCTTGGGGTTTACAAGTGCAGCTGAATCTCCAGGCGCTCTGTATCGTGATCTCCCCCAATCGAAACCCAACCCACACACGCGAATATCATCCCTGCGGCTCCAAAGCTAGCCCTGATCATTCTCCTAAGCTCTAAAACCCTAAACCCCGCACCCGAAATAAAGCGGTAGCGTCCGTGTTTTTCCATTCCTGCACTACTTACAAAGTCGGGGCAAATTACCTCGAGCTCACACAAGCTCAGCCTTTAATCGTAGTTGTTATTTTGCATACAAGGAGTTCAGGGATGTGTGCATCATGGCTCTTATTGCTAGTATAGCTACTGTTAAACACACTTCGTCTCCTCATTGTAAGAAACCGTTCGTTTAAATTCGTCTTAATTGTTATGGTTGTTATGATGAAACATCGTAACAACACTAAACCCTAAACCCTAGCATCTGCCCAGTCTAACTCCCCTTGACCCCATCCTAGCCTGCCAGCCGCTCCTGCAATCGTTCACGCCGCCACTTCTGAAAGCGCTTCTTCTGCATAAAGTTCCTGAGGTGGGTTTGGGGCTTAGGGTTTAGGGATGGGAGCTCAGGTTCTAGGGTGTAGGGCTCCGGGATTGGGTCTAGGGTTCGGGATTTATGGTTTAGGGTTTAAGGATCGGCGTTCTAGAGGGAGTGGGGAAGTGCACATTCCTTCATCTACGCAGACATGTCTGTAAAAGCCTGTATTCACTTCCGACTTCCCCTTCAGCACTACAAGGATTTCATGTTTTTGTCAGGGTATATGAGCGGATGATGTAAGATTCCATGGGGTGATCCCGGGCTTGTACAGTTTAGGGTCTAGGGCTGAGGGTTTAGGCTTTTGGGGTAACCCATCTCATCCACGGGACAAAATCCCGAAAAAACACGTAGAACACTTAAGACTTCGGAGGACGTTGCCTCAAAGTCGAGATAGTCAATGAAGCCCCAAACTCTGTTCTAATCATTTAGCAATCCAGTAAGACCTTTGCGGCGCTGTCATTGAAATCCTAGCAGGCCCTACTATAAAGATTCTAAATCGAATGGAAAACGGATTTCATGTAAGGGGCTTAAATCATGAGGATAGGGTTTGAGGGGTACATCATACAAAAGCTATGTGGGCTATAAGAGGATAACATTCCAAATTCATCGGGCTTCTACTTTTAAAATAAAAACAGAGTAGAGCCTTCCTGAACCTTAAACCCTAAAACAAGTGCCAAAGCAGTCCAGGAGTTCAAGCTATTTCCCACGCTGGGATTGCGGAGAACCTGCAGCTGCGCTTGCATGTGGGGGGTTTGCCTAAATCATTGCTCCGCGGTCTGGGGCTTAGGGTTGAAGTCTATTTCAGGACCCATGTCACCATAGAAACCGAAACATACGGGCAAGGATGATAATCCCTTTATAGAAATCCACTGCAGGTGTTGATGCTAGTTTCTGCTCAGGACGCACGCATGGCGAGTTTGGGGCCGGGGGGGGGTCAAGGGGGGCGCATGGAGAAGATTGTATTTGCGGGACTTGTGGCGTAAAGCGCATTGAGAGCGAGCAATGCCTGCAGAATCTTCAAGGCACCCCTTCGGGACCCATAGCTGAAGACCCCCCGAGACTTCCCTAAGGCCTCCCAAAGGTCCCACAAAGTGTCCACTTCCCTTAAAGCCAAGCAGGGCTTAGCCCAGTAGCCTGGTCATCCGTCAGGTCAGCATAGCAAGCCAACGGCACCCCGAGCTCTTGTAGCTCCAACTTCCTCGGGCTTCAGTGCGTAAGGGGTACCGGAACCCCAAAAGTAAGTGAAATAATAGCCCGAAACACCAAGATTTAGCCCAAAAGGCCATTATTCTTTATACTTTTGGGGTTCAGGTAGGATCCAAGGTACGGGTTTATGGGCTCAGGGTGTTGGAGCTTCCTTTGTCGACTTGAGGGTCTAGGGACTTTAGGGCTGAGGGCTGACGGCTGCGAGGCTGTAAGAAGTGAATGACAAACAAGCCTACACAACTAGAATGACTTCACTTTAGTCCATGCACAAGCAGGAACAGCAGATACTCACCGATGAGCCCACATGTCTATTCAAATGGGCCACACACACACACACACCAAACATAATGCCCCCTAATCCTGATGGGCCTCCACAAAATACCCCCATATGGTACTAAGATACAATGGGCGAATATAATTGTTTTATATGTCCCTATATAGCCCCTTAAACCCTAAACACTAAACACCCTAAACCACTAAACCCTAAACAACCCTGAACACCCTTTGCCCTAAACCCCTAAATCCTAAACCAGATCCCAGCTTCAGGTTGCGGGTGTAGGCGCCCACTGGCTGAGCCTCATTGCGCAGGAGCCGCCGGATGGCTGCTTGTTCCTCTGGGTCCATTAAGGGCGCAAAGTGTAGACTAAACCCTAAAGCCTAAATCCCAAACCCTAAGCCCCTAAGCCTAAGCCCCAAACACTCAACCCTAAACCCTGAACCCCATAGGGACTTCATTCATATTCGTGGGGATTTAGGGTTTGCGCTGAAGAGCTTACGGAGTGAAGGGTTTCGGGCTTAGGCTTACGAGCTCAGGGCTTATAAGGCTTGGCAACCAGGCAAAGAAATTTACCTTCTTGCATCGTGGGTTTGGGGTTTAGGGTGTAGGGCTTAGGGTCTAGGAGTTAAGGGTATAGGGTTTAGGATTTAGGATTTAGGGTCTCAGGTTGAGGAACCAAGAAGACAAAGGCTCAGTGCACTGGGAGACCTAGGCATCCGCTTGCCCACCTTCTTTCGAACAAGCCCTGACCCCCAGACACTGGCGTTTTCCGGCGTTGGATGAAACAAAACATCAATAAGGGGATTTTGGTAACCCCAACCCCCAAAATTAGGACCCTATAACTGTCATACGAATTAATAAAGTCCTAATTTGGGAGGTTGGGGTAACCCAAATCCTTTTATTGAATAGTTTCCCAAAATAAGGGGACCCCAATATAGACCCCAATATACGATAATCCTAATTATTGGGACCCTCAAAATGGTACCCTCAATTTTGAGAAACCCCCAAACCCTAAACCCTAAACCCTTAATTTTGGGAAACCCACAAAAATATGCCCAAAGCCAACCTAGTGTCATCTGCAGTCAGTCCCACGGCTGCAAGCTCATCCTTCACCTGAATATCTGGGTTTAGGGTTTACCCAACGGGTTCATTTCCAGGGATGGTTTTTGGTGGTATTTACAGGGTTTCGTTGTTTTTGTGTTTTTCATTGAAAGGTTTCAGAAGGGTTTTTCGGGTATGATTCCAGTTGTTTTGCTTATTATGAAGATGCGTTGCATTGTGGGTATCTTCTGAGCAGCAGCTTGTTCAGGTTTG